TTTGAAGAGTTGGTTTCCATTACTTTTATATCTATTGATGGGAATATTTTAGCCTCCCTATTTAGAAATTCCTCCAAATTGTTTTCTGTGTAAATGTATTTGTAATTCCCCATACATCCCTGTGATAGCCATACTCTGGGCTTTGTCCTCACTGCATTGTTAGCCTGAATTATATTTTAACTCAAGCATTGCCCCCAACCCTATGCCTATGTACACACAAAATCTCTAGCTTTGAGTAAAGTGGTCTTTTACATTCAAATAAATGGGCTCATCACTTAACCCATTTATATTCCTTAAAGCTTCACAGGTGCTGACATCAGGGAGTGTATTGTACCGGGAGTGAAGTTATTCTATGTTGCTAATCCATTCATTCAGGGTAGCTCACATATTTTGCAGTATGACTCTCACTCAAGCTAGAGTATGACTCTCGAGTTAAGGATGACTTGAGTTAACTCTGCGATGAAGATAAGCCCTAATGCTTATGCAAATTCTGGCAGGATTTCAGTCACATTATGGGTAGGGTTGCCAGATGGTTGAAACAAAAATACCGAACATCACCCCCTTTTTCCCCCAAAAAAACACCGGGAAAAAATTCTGTTGAAGGGGAAAAAAAGGGGAAGGGGGAGACCAAAGTTGTTAGGTTTAAAAAAAAAAAAGACTCCAAGGACTTATTAAACCAAAACAATAAAACAACATGTCCCCTTTAAGAGTGAGTGCAGGGATAGGAACAGGGGAGCAGCTGAGCATTGCTTCCCCTAGGTCTTTTGGCTGACAGCCATTTTGTGCCGGCAGCTTTGGGGATCCTGGTAAGCATGGGGGCTGGTGTTGGGGGCCATGGTGGGTCTCGAGGGGAGAGGGAGGCCAGGTGCTCAGTGTTGGTAGGTGCCCGGCCTTTTCGCCTCCTGGCCAGGGAAAAATTCAGCGAATACCGGACATCTCAGGTCCATTGGTGCCTTTTATTTGAAGGCCAATAATATTGGCTAGCTATAGAAATATAGTAATGTAAGGAGCAAATAACATCTGTGAGTGGCAGCTGAGCTAATTGAACTATACTTTTTCTAGGCTGTGTTGTTAATATTATCCCTCTATATATTTAAAAAAAATTCCTGTGGGGATGACAGTGTGACATCATCAGATCACTCTGCAGCCTACTTGCCACCACCCTCCCTCCACCCTCCCCTTTCCCCAATGCTCAGCTGCCACTTGGGGCCTGGGGAGGCCCCTGAACAGCTCTCTTCTCCTTCCCTCCCTGCTATCCTCCATGTGGACGAAGCCGCAAACTTCATGGCCCATGAGCCATACGGCCTTTCCTCTCTCCCCCCTGGTACTCCAGGAGGGGAGCCCGAAGCTGTGAGCCATACAGCCTCTCCCTTTCCTGGTGCTGTAGGGGGCCTCCCCGTCTCTGAGGCCTCCCCCTCTTTGGTAATCCAGGAGTGTGGGAATTGTGCCCCCTCCCTGCACCCCGACCCCCTCACACACACACTAGGTCAGGGGAAAGCTGGGCCAGCCTTGCCCTGGCCCTGCTCCCTGGCAGCTGGGAGAAGGAAAGAGCCAGGGTCGATAGGTGGGTGGGGGAGAATGGGCTGAGACAGGGGAGCAAGACCCAGGGCAGCCTTGGGGCCAGAGGTAGGGGGAGAGAACGGGGGCCTGGGCAGCCCTGGATCCTCCCTGGAATGGGGAGAGCCTCTGACTCAGCCCAACCCCCTGGCAGCCAGGGCCTTGGCCCAGCCCAGCCCCCCGGTATCCGGAAGGGGAGGGGAGCTGGGCTGGGCTGGCCTCGGGGGGCCCAGTGGCTGGAGGAAGAGAGACAGGGCAGACCAGGACTGCCATACCTTGGCCTGGCCCTCTCCAGCAGCTGGCAGGTGGGGGAGACTCAGGAGTGACCTATCCCCAGAAAGGGGCGTTGGCGAGCGTAGGGAGCAGGGGCCACTGTTCCCTAGTAAAATGTAATCAGAAGTGCTTCATTTTGCATTGTGCTTGAGAATGTAAACTGTGAACAATGGAGAAAGTAAGTTAAAGATGATTTCTTTGTTAAAGCACTGGAGGGTTTTTTTTTCTTGAAACTACAAAGCAGTTTGTTTGTGACATTTGTAACCACAAATATTGTGGTACTTGAACTGTATTTGCAGAGTTACACTGATTTCTGTAAAGAAAAAGCCCCAAACCAAAACCAAACCAACACAACAACAACTTTTTAATTCTGCAGACATCAGAAAATAGGCCAAATTCTGTTTTCTCTTTTAGACCTCTGCAACCACACTGAAGTTAATGGGGTTACACAGATAAAACTAAGAGCTGAAACTAGCCCAGTGTGTTTAAATATATTTCTTATTCTTGTGACTCATCTTTCTAGTATTCAAGGACAAAGGATTCCAGAATTAGTCACTAAATATTGTAAACGTTAAAACAAAATGACAGATATTTTTTCTTTTATTCTTATCATTATTATAAATGTAAATTTGTACTTTTCCAAATTAAAACAAGGAACTATGAGGAAAAAAGCACAATTTCTACTCAGGAAAAAGTTAAATTAATAATTTGGCAAACTATTGTTTGTACTACAAATGAAACAAACATTGTTTAAATTTGTGCAGCAATTAATCCATAAAATGATTCAGTAAATGAAGTTATTTAACTTCTAAAACTCTCTGTTCTTTAGAAACTTTTACCTATGCACTGTAATAGTCATAGGAAGAAAAATGATATTATTCCAGTAAAGGTCTTCTGCAAAGGATGTATTTTGGTGATGAAACATTTGTCAGTTCAGGAAAAATAGTAACTAGCACTAGGAAAATGAAATCTGCTAATTCAGTTAGCCACAAGATGGCAGTACATTACTTCAGTTTTCTCACTATCATCCAAGCTCATTAGCTTTTAAACAAGGACCACAGCATGACTATAATTTCTTCTGTTTAAAGTTTAAGGCCCCAGTCCTGCAAATATTTATACACATGCTAGACTTTAAGCATATGAGAAGTTAAGCACATATGTGTTTGCAAGATAAAGGACATAAAGAGGCATAATTATCATAGGCTGTACTGAGATTTGTAGTTGTTACAAGGATTAGGGATCCAATCAAGCAAAGCACTTAAGCATATGAATAATTTTAAGCAGTCCCATATCAATGGCTAAATCCCTTTGTCAGATATGGAGTTTAAAGTGTATCTTCATAAAACGTATACTCTTAGTGCACAGATAATCTGGAAAGTTAGCAGTTATCTGTTCAGCATCTTATCAATGTGAATGAGTTAAAACATTTTTTTTTTAAATGTCATCTGGTGTCTAACTTTTTATATCTGTATCACTCTAATATACAAATGGCTTGGTTTTCACCCTGAAAACTTTAGATACATTTATCTCCCCACAAAACCTCATGCACACTGGTTTCAAGGTGCAAATATATATACATTGCGTTATTCATTAATGCTGTTTAATTTTCTGTGTATGCAAAGTAAGCTAATAGATGAAGCATCTCTTGTCATAGCCACTGCCTTGTTGCATATTTAATTAAGTACTGAAGCATCTAAACATCAAAATATAAGTGCTTTGTTACCTGCATTATGAATAAATCCCAGCAACTCCGTATACATCTTTTGCTCCAGGCAACCTCTGCTTCCATGTTCAAACCCTCAATTGATCACAGCTCCCTGCCTTGACCACTCCACAGCCTCTCCTGCTCCATGGTTCCAGCCCTTCACGTTGGATCCTTTCATACCTCCCTAGAGTGCATCGCTCTTCTCCTTCCACAATTTTGCAGATGTACGCAGGAAGCGAATGCCAGGCTGATTAGGCCTCCCAGTTGGTCTCAGAACCCTGCCTCATCATTCACCTGTGACCCAGCAACAGCAATTAGGAGCTAGGAAAAAACCTCAGACAAAATGTATGTTGGCAGTGGAACTTCCTGTATCGCTGGACATGCATCTTCTGCAGCTGGCAAAGTTGGCAGGCTGGAGACCTTGTCCTGTAGTCCTGGGCAGGCTAGTGGCAGGTGGCAGTGGACTGAGGCACTAGAAAAAAAATTGGGATGATGTGCTAGCCAGAGGCTGGCTAGGAATCAGGGCTGGAGACTGACAGAGTAGCTGGAGTGCCAGGAGCAGGGTGGGGGTAGGGTGTCTGGCCAGGGGCAGGGAGATGGGGGCAGAGGGTGCCTGGGGCTGAAGCTGGGGGACGGCTGAGAGGGTTCAGGTAGCTGGGGGCAAGGTGCCCCTGGGAATTAGGCCTGGGATCAAGGTGGCTCGGAGGGGCAATTCAGAGAAATGAAGGGGCAGGGAGCCTCTACGGTGCGGCAAGGGGATGGGTGTGTAGGTGACGCTGGGGTGTCCAGCACTGTGGGGGATGGAGTCTCACAAGGGTCCAGTCCATGTGTTGTACCAAATAAAAGCAAGCAGGATCTTATGAGGGGGATAAGGCAAAAAGCCACATTTATTGTAAAGATAATAATAAAAAATAAAGAAAAGATAGAAGCAAACAACGTTGTTTAACTACTTATTCCTAACACTACTTAACCCTTATACACTTGTATAGCACTGTGGGGGATGGAGTCTCACAAGGGTCCAGTCCATGTGTTGTACCAAATAAAAGCAAGCAGGATCTTATGAGGGGGATAAGGCAAAAAGCCACATTTATTGTAAAGATAATAATAAAAAATAAAGAAAAGATAGAAGCAAACAACGTTGTTTAACTACTTATTCCTAACACTACTTAACCCTTATACACTTGTATGTATATATATATATAT